CCCCCCCCCCCCCCCCAGTCCTGAACATATCTTATCCTTATGCTCTGCAAGTATAAGGCTCAACCTGCTTGACTTTAGTTCCAAAACCTTTCTCTATAAGTTCCTACAAATATGTTTTAAACTTTCAACAACGTTTTCTGAATAATGAAAAGGCCGTCCTGCAGGGTGATGGTGTGGCGTCCATCGCCCATCCGTCATCCATACAGCATCAATGTTTTCTTACACAACTTATCAATAACCGATTAGCCTCGGGTGTCTAGAAAGTCTGTTCGAATGAGTGACTTTATCCCACTTTCAAGGTCACTGGGGTCATATGTGTTAAAATATTTAAACAATATCTTTAGAATACACTAAAGATCAAGGGTGATGATATATGGCCAGTAGCATGCTGGGACAAGGGCTACCAAATTTATGCAAATGAATGACCTTGATTCATGCTCAAGGTCACAAGGATCAAATATGATTTAAACTTAAAACAACATTTTCTGAATAACCAAAAGGCCTAGAGTGGTGATAATTAGCCAGTTACATGCTGGGATGAAGGGATAAAGAGTTTGTTCAAATGAATGAGCTTGACCCAATTCAAGGTCATATATGGTAAAATGTGTATAAACTTTTAAATATCTAAATAAACAAAAGGTCTTGGATGCTGATATTTGACAAGTTGCATGCTGGGATGAAAGGTTATAAAGTTTAATGGACTTGTTTAACTTCTCAGGTCACAGGGGTTGAATGTGTTTAAATGTTTTAATGGGTTCATTTGAATTTCGTTGAGTCATAAATTCTGATATTTTGCCAATAGTTTTATTAGCTCACCTGGTCCCTACCGCAGCTTCCGTCATCCATCGTCGGTCCAACAACTTTTCCATTAAAACGCTACTTGTCCTGAACAGTCTAGTAGATTTTGACTAAATTTGGTCTGGAGCATCCTTAGACCAAGGGGAATCAATTTTGTATAAATGGTCGGTGTGTTCCCCCTGGGGGCATAGGGGCGAGGCCCAATAGGGGAAATAGAGGAATTGTTTTCTTCTTCTTTTGGGCAGATGAGTGGACCACTTAGGGGAAATAGAGGAAAACATTAGAGATCCTTTTCCCTCCGTACCATTGAAGGGATTTTAACCTAACCAAACTTGTTCTAGAGAATCTTTGGGCAAAGGGAATTGAATATGTATTGTATAAAAAGGTGCATGTGAGGCCCAATAGGGTAAATAAAGGAAAATTGGGAAATAACATGAAAACACTTTCTTTTGGTGTCTTTCACACCATAACAGATTTATGTGTAGTTCTTCTTGCAACTTTGTTTTTTGTCCTTTGATAAACCTGAATGGTACTCGGCAGTTTTTAAATTGAAAAATAAAATACCAGGTGAGCTATTAAGGCCCCTGGGCCTCTTGTTGTATAAAACGTGAGTCCGGCTTCCAGGGGCCTGAGGGGCAGGGCCTAATAGGGGAAACATAGCAAATTCTTTAAAATCCTTCTTCTACTGTAAGGATAAAAGGATTTGGTCCATATTTGGTATGGAGCATCCTCGGGTAAAGGGTAACCAATTTTGTATTAACTGTGCGTCTGGCCCCCCTGGGGGCTGAGGGACGGGAAACATCGCAAATTATTCTTTAAAATCCTTCTTCTGTAAGAATCAAAGGATTTGGTCCATATTTGGTGTGGAGCATCCTTGGGTAAAGGGTAACTAATTTTGTATAAACTGTGGGTCTGACCCCTCGGGGGCCAGAGAGGCGGGGCCCAATAGGGGAAACATAGCAAACTATTCTTTAAAATCCTTCTTCTTTTGTAGGAATGAAAGGATTTGGTCTTTATTTGGTGTGGAACATCCTTCGGTAAAGGGGAACCAATTTTGTATAAAAGTTGGGTGTGGCCTCCCTGGGACCTGAGGGGCAGGGCCTTATAGGGAAAATAGTGGTAAAACCTTTAAAATCCTTCTTCTACCATAGGGATTAAGGGATTTTATCCTAATTTAGTCTGGATCATCCTTGGGCCAAGGGGACTAAATTTTGTATAAGCAGTGGGTATAACCCCTCTAGGGGCATACGGGTGGGGCCCAGTTTGAAGTTTGTTCTCGTTATATCTCAAGTACTGGGTGGATCTTTCTGAAATTTCATATGTACTTACATGGAGTGCTATATCTTTACTTCATACCAATTATTTGAAACATATTCAGATGAGCGATACAGGCCCTCTGGGCCTCTTGTTTTAATGATACAAGTGTGAATTTTGTACCAGGTGAGCGATGCAGACACATTGGGCCTCTTCGTTGTTGAATTCAGCACTTTTCTGAAGTCCTCAAAACGACTGTAATAAGTATCCAAAAAGTTTCATTGTACGCTTCCTTGTCTCTTAAATGACAAAACAGACCAAAGACAATTAAGTAAAGAGAATGAGGAAGATATTTACCTGATCTCTTTTCTTAACCTCATCCATATTTTTGTCCCAGGAATTAATTCATTTTCTCAGCAGTCATGTTAACTAGTACTAGAATTTTATTTTCCTCTGTCATATTAGAATTTTGCATTTTTCACCATTCTTCAAACAGTTGGATTGCCAATGCAGTGTTTTTCTTGGTGTTTGGGTATTCTTTGTTGTTGAGTAACTTAGGCAATATCAACCTCAGAAACATGATTGTGCAAATCTGTTAGAAGATGTGTTGTTATTTAAGGTCGACATTGCTACACACCATTTATTGGATACCATTCTTGTCAATTACCAGATATTCATTGTGATAGGTGCAGGTACAAGTGGAAGACATCTGCAGTACGTACCTGCCTATCAGAATGGATTATCTGGTTACAGACTCAGAAAGGTGTCCAATAACTTCCTTCTTCCTTCTAAATGTATAGATTCCACCTCATACTTAATGTGCTAAACTTTTATATGCACAAAGTCTTGAGTCTTGCATGAGACCCATTGTGATTGCCTTTTGTCTGTCAGTGTAAGGATCCCACGTACAGGAATCTGAGGGACAGGGCTTAAATTTTAAAATGATGTCTTACTCAAACTCAGACATACTAGAATAAAAAGCTCTTCATGGATTGAAAGATCCGAAGGTGTTGTAATATCAAAACTGTGAAATTCATAACCCTGGGGAATATCAAAACTGTGAAATTCAAAACCCTGGGGAAATCTTTTCTGCCATGGGGAGGGCTGGGGTAATTTTTAGCTCACCTGGCACGAACAACTTCTTCTGAATAACCAAAATGCCCTGGGTGATGGTATTTGGCCAGTAGCATGCTGAGATGAAGGGATACAAAGTTTGTTCAAATGAAATGACCTTCATCAATTTTCAAGGTCACAGGGGTCAAATATGTTAAAATCTGTAAACAACTTCTTATGAATAACCAAGAGGCCTAGGATGATGATATTTGGCCAGTAACATGCTTGGATGAAGGGCTACCAAGTTTGTTCAAATAAATGACCTTGCCTTATATTCAAGATCACAGGGGTCAAATATGTTAAAATCCTTTAAACAACTTCTTTTGAATAACCAAGAGGCCTTGGGTGATGATATTTGGCCAGTAACATGCTGGGATGAAGGGCTGCCAAATTTGTTCAAATAAATGACCTTCACCAATTTTCAAGGTCACAGGGGTCAAATATGTTAAAATCTTTAAACAACTTCTTCTGAAAAACCAAGAGGCCTAGGGTGATAATATTTGGCCAGAAGCATGCTTGGATTAAGGGCTACCAAGTTTGTTCAAATAAATTACCTTCATCAATGTTCAAGGTCACAGGGGTCAAATATGTTAAAATCTTTAAACGTCTTCTTCTAAATAACCAAAAGGCCTAGGATGATGATATTTGGCCAGTAACATGCTTGGATGAAGGGCTACCAAGTTTGTTCAAATGAATGACCTTGCTTTATATTCAAGGTCACAGGGGTCAAATATGTTAAAATCCTTTAAACAACTTCTTTTGAATAACCGAGAGGCCTAGGGTGATGATATTTGGCCAGTAACATGCTTGGATAAAGGGCTACCAAGTTTGTTCAAATAAATGACCTTGACTTATATTCAAGGTCACAGGGGTGAAATATGTTAAAAACCTTTGAACGACTTCTGAATAACCAAGAGACCCAGGGTGATGATATTTTGCCAGTTACCTGCTCAAATGAAGGGCTACCAAGTTTGTTCAAAGAAATGACCTTGGTTTATATTCAAGGTCACTGGGGTCAAATATGTTTAAAACCTTTAAAAGACTTCTACAAAATAACAAAGAGGCTTAAGGTGATGATATTTGGCAAGTAACATGCTTGGATGAAGGGCTACCAAGTTTGTTCAAATAAATGACCTTGATTTATATTCAAGGTCACTGGAGTCAAATATGTTTAAAACCTTTAAACGACTTCTTCTGAATAACTGAGAGATCTAGGGTGTTGCTATTTGGCCAGTAACATGCTGGGACGAAGGGCTACCAAGTTTTTTTCAAATAAATGACCTTGATTTATATTCAAGGTCACTCGGGTCAAATATGTGTAAAACTTTTAAACGACTTCTTCTGAATAACCAAGAGGCCTAGGGTGATGATATTTG